ACACACACACACACACACACACACACACACACACACACACACACACACACACACACACACACAGGTACGTGCAGAAAAGTGTGAGCTCTCCAGTGTTTTTAGCTACACTGCCTTTTATCAGAGCAGTGTCTGTTTCCTCTTTCATTATACACACCGTTACACACGGCTTATAAAACAGGATGTGTTTCGTTTATTTATGCTCATCTAAATTTCGGTACCTGTTGAGAGTAAATGTGACCTTCTATAAAAAGGAAAAGATTATTATGTCGGTTTGCATGTTTAGTGTTGAGCGTGTTTGTGTACCTGTGCCACCAGGATGCCAATAACTACACCCAGCTGGTGCAGCGTGCCGAAGGCTCCGCGGACAGCGGTGGGAGAGATCTCGCCCACGTACATGGGCGTCAGACCCGTGCATAGACCGCAGAACACGCCGATGATGAACCGGCCAATTATGACCATCTCAAAAGATTGACTCAGAGTCGCCAGTCCCATCATACCGCCACCCAGTAGAGCCAGGATGTTGTTCATCAGCATGGACTTTCGCCTGGTAGTAAGACACAAAAACAGAAGTGAAATCAGAGTCTGTATCGCACTCTCAGTAGTAGATCGTTTGGTCGCACCACCACAGTGTTTATCTTTGATTTTCTCACCTGCCAAATTTGTTAACCACTGCTCCAACAGAGAAGGACCCGATCATGCCTCCCACGCTAAAGATGGCCACAGCAAAACTCCAGACCAGAGTAATTGTCTGTGACTGAAAAGGCTCCCCGTATCGGCTCTGAGACACATTAGAGAAAAATGTCCGCAGTTTCTGAAAAAACAAACAAAAAAAAGGTTGGAGTGTTAAGATTATTATTATTTCATGAAACATCAGTAAAGTCTACCAGATGTAGTGGCACTTAGGGGGTGTTTTTAACTCTTCCACATGGGGGCAGTATAACTTTTACCATCCTCATGAGAGCATACAAATGAGAGCAGACATGTAGGTCAGGGGCATCCAACTCCAGGCCTCAAGGGCCGGTGTCCTGCAGGTTTTAGATATCACCCTGGGTCGACACACCTTAAATGATAATCGTGTAACTAACGATACGATAACTAATCGTAAGGCTGGTGCTCCAGTCTGCATGCCAAGGTATTCTTGGGCAATCCCTAGTTGCTCACAATTTTTAACAAGAGTGTGAAAGTAGAAAGCACTTAGAAAAAAAGTGCTTGTATGAATGTGTGTGAATGGGTTAATGTGACATGTTACATAAGGCACTACATAAGAACCAGTCCAGTTATCATTTTTGAAAACGTAGGAAAAACTGTGCATGAACTCAATCAATCACACACCTGCTCGGGTGCATTGATGACGCCGGTGTTGTAGCCAAATTGTAGGGAGCCGATGACTGCTGTTGAAACGCAGTAGAGAAGGTAAGGCGTCAACTTCTTCTTGGGCTGTTGAAAGAGGAGAAAACACAGAGTTATTATCTATCGCCACAATAAATTGCAGATGAAGCCTCTCTCCAATCAGTCCCTCAGTTTGAATGTCCTCTTCTGGGCTCTACAAAGCTTTCGTTGTTTACAGTCACACTGGTAATTACAAACAATGAGCCTTTCTCCATCTGTTCTCGCTTCTTGTTTTCGCATCGCTGCATTAGTAACTGTAGGCCCGCTGCAATGCAACAAAGCACCATGATTTGTGGCTCTGAGGTATTTCCCTGATAAGTAGCTAAAGACACCCTGAGAGACTAAGTCTGAATCCTCTTGGGAGTGTTTGCTCCTGCTTGTTTCAGAATTAAAATGGGCTTAGCACATACTAACAAGCTAATACACCTCACATTAATCCCTTACACTGGCACGGTTTGCTTGAGGAGTGACATTTCCAATATGTAAAGTCATTCTGCTAAGGAGAACTGAGGTTTAAATGACGCCAAACTTCAGTCATGCTGCGTGTGGGCAGCATAAAGAGAAAATGTGACTCTCGATCCAAGTTTTGGTTTGACTTTAAAACTAACCTAACGATTACATCCTTACAGATTGTTACATAAAAATCTCTAAGAACTGTTGCAAAAGCTTTCCTTCATGTCTCCGATCTAATGAGCAAATGCTAATGTCCAAACAGGCTCATTAATGAAAGGAAATCCATGTTAATCAAGTTTAATCCATCTAGTTTTGAAATCTGCTGCTTATGCAACATTAACTCGACTAAGCAGCATCCGTGAAACATTCATCAGATGGATTAGGAGCCTGTTTTGTACAGTTTGTCAAGTCAAAAACAGACACTTTTAGAAACAGTCCTGCCAAGATAAGCACACAGACTTGTCCATTTATCATACATGATATTACTGTCTGGACAGATTAAACATCTTGAAAGTTTTTGAGAACAGAGTGCCTCAATATTAGCAACATTGACTTCTAAACAGCTGCTCACAGACTGCCTCAAACAAGCTGCCCGTTTTTGCATGTGGTTAAGCCTTCTTTCAAATGCTACATTTTTACAGGAAACCAAATGCCTCTACTATCACCAAAACAGGAAAATGCTGGTGCAATGTAGTTATCTTAAACTGCCACATGACAGTACTTTATAGCACTCATATCCAGTGTGCTGTAGTTATCAAAAATATCGCATGGCTCAGAATGAAACATGCATGCAAGAGGAACTGATGAACCAAATAAAGACAGAGGGCTGATAAGTGACAATATTTCACTGAGACTGAGGCTGCACGCTGCTCTGCTTCTCACTGAGATATCACCGCTTAAAACAAGCTGAATGTACAAGTGTTAGGGAATTAGCTATTTGTGACATTCAATAATGTGTGGGGTCTGTGCGGTTGCAGTCAGTCCTGCTTTTAGAAAACTGCGGTAGTAATGAGGACATACGTTGGTGAACTAAAGACAATTTCACAATTCATGTTAGTTCTAATTCAAACTGAGACTTTTAGATGCGAGGGAAGAAAAGGTAAAAATATTGGAAGTGACCTCATTTTTGAGAATAACAGTGACATTAGCACTGCGTGATCTGAAGAGCAAATGAGTAATGTGTGTCCGATTGTGGAGGAGATGGAGGCTGAGTGTAGCGGGTGCTCCAGGGTGCATGTGCAAACGTGTGTGTTACCTAAGATGTGACTTTAAAATCACCCTTAAAAAAAAATCCCCTCTTACTGGGGCGTGTCCAGCTGAGCGCGGAGCATTACAAATCTTACAAACATAACGCATCTGACTCTAGGTTGTATCGACTTGTCCCGAGGCATGCGGTTGTACAGTCATGCATTCACATGTTTGTTTATGCATGTGCCATTTGTAGGTTACTAGTAACATCAGCAGCCAAGCCCACAGTGTTGCTCAATATCTATTTTCTTTAATGACTTTGGAGTAGAATTTGCATACCAGTCCAACTTTGGTTTGCAACTAAGGATTCAGCTAAAAGAAAAAAAGAAAGCATCAGTCTGCAGCTGCTTGAACTTCACCTTCCGAACTCGACTCTCTTAAATTCTTGTCTTACTGCTGACTGATTTTTCCTCTCACATTAATCATTTAGTAATAAAATATTAATAAGTACATGCAGTTAGACTAGATTGAAGCCTGTCTTAAAATAATAATAAAAATCGGAAAGCAGAATTCAGCTTCCACATTCATACTATCTTGCAATTGTCTGCCCTGTCCAAGATTATGTAAAGAAAAAAGTTAGGAAATAACCATGAAAATGAAGTAACTGCAAGAAACGTCTTACAAAAGAGAAACCGCAGCAATGCTTTGCAAAATGCTAAGTTCAGAGGTAGCAGGGAAGCAGGTGCATTAAGCTCATTTATATGAGCAATAACACGAACTCCTCTGTGCTGCACGTATCAAAACATTGTGCCATTGTTATAAGAAGGTTTGCAGTCGAACTGCTATGCCCTCATCCCACCTCTCTCCAAGTCAGGACGCAATAAAAACAAGGAACTATGACATGCTCAAGTTCAGACTTGCCAGCCAACAGTCTTGACTCCCAATCACACTCTCTTACTCATGTCCTGAAGTGCTCAACTCTCATCCACCACTCCTGCTTTTGCCAACATGGAAAAATACAGAAAACCAGCAGGTCTATTGTATAAGGCTCACTCTGACTTGCCTCACATAAACTCATCCTTTGGTGGTTTTTTGTAGTGAAACTCAGCATCCGTTCCAGCGTAACGCATGTGGCTCATTGTCAAAAAGGTTCAAATTGATTTCTGATAATGAAAATGAATGCCAATGAAAACAATACCAGCGACACTTATACGAGAGCATAAGCGAAAGACTATGATGTTCACCTTGTCATCATCCAGATGCTGCATCCTGATCTCTTCTGTTTGATGTTCACAGAAAGGACAGCGGGAGTCTTAATTCTTTATGCGCACGCCTGTGTGCAAGCAGTCAGCAGGAAAACCTGAAAAACAATAAGCAAAGCAAACACACACATTAACATATTTTGATCAAAATCCAGAATCAGACAATCTTTATGGATCTTGAGGTTTACAAAGAAAAGAAGCCTCTTATATATATTAAGAGCTATAAAGTACGTACCCCTAATGGATTCTGTTAAGGGAGAGTCTATGCGCAGGCAGTTGAGACACTTCTCGGCACTGTGTGAATCTGTCAGTTGTGATGGAGAATGTGTTAGAGCAATGACAGTAAGTCCCTCCCTCTATTTCACTCTGTTCACCCTCCACATGTTCGCTCCCCAGTTTTAAAGTTATAAAGAGTGAAAAAAGTGATATAACCTCATCTTTCCCAATTAAATTACTGCCCTGCCTTATTTCTTATCCATATAAAGCACAAAATAACGCATCAGTGACGTCTACAGAGAGCATTATAATAACCCATGTGATGCGATGGAGCCGGAGATGATGCTGAACTGATGCCCGGATTAAAGTTAAAAATGTTTTACACCCAACAGGCTATTTTAACACTTTTATACGAGCAGTATCACTAAAGAATATAACAATTAAGTCCAAGCAAAGTAAATCTCTTTACAGAACTAAATGACATAAATAAATCAGCAAAGCAAGTTGAAAAATTAAAGTTTTACCGCTTTGTTGGTTTGTGCCAGCCTCTGTGTATCCAGTTTATAATAAACCTCGTGTCTACACCTCTTATGTATCTTCAAAATTAAGTCCGCCTTCCTATCGGGGTGTGTTTTAAAGAAACCTAGACGCGCTTGGCGGCACGTTGCCCTGTCTTACTCATTGTTGACGAAAGCACACGATGCGTAGTTTCCGATCTGGGCCGATCACTTGTTAGGAAATCGCACAGCCGAGCTTCCGCTCAGCTGCAGAGAGAAAGAAAGGGGTGGATGGGGTCTATGTGCTCCTGACCGCGTGCGGAGCGGAGTGATGGGCGAACAAACGGTGAAAAGAGGCTCTGTGCTGGTTCGGTCTGGCCGCCCACCGAAAACAAAAGGCAGTGTGCCCAGAACTCAGATACAAAGCCCGGTCATGCAGAAATCATGAGACCGGCTCAGTGGGTGGTTAACAACCCCCCCCAATCCACCCGTAATTCTTCATCAGCTTTAATCTTGACAGTCCATCAAATCTCAGCCTGGAATTTAGCAAATTCTCTAGAAAACGTGAGAGCGAAAACGCATCCTGGTTTCTTTTGTTTTGATAATTTAGATTTGGTGTGTCTTAATTACATCACCAAGTGCTTCCAGTGCCCCTGGTATTGATTGGTTGTTTAGGATCAAAATACTTTAATGTACCTAAATTAAAAGGAACTGAATGATCACATCTAACTATCTGATCTTAACTAATTACATTACTTTCATATTTTTTTCCCCCTGGAGTCTGTCACAAGGTAAACAGAGACAGACAGACAATTACTCACTCTCACATTCACACCTATGATCAATTTAGAATCACCAGTTAATCAAACCCTGCATGTCTCTGGACTTTGGGAGGAAGCCAAAGCTAAACCTTACATTTGTTGGTGTCACTGTACAATAACAACATAGTTCAGTAAAAGTTATATAACAACGCTAGTCTACTGTAGTTGTAAGACTGACATTGAGATTGAGCACGTAGAAATAAAATAGCACTAGTTGTGGAAGAGACACCAGAGGTACCCCAATTATGGATACGCCACTGGTGCCTTTCTTTCTTTCTTTCTTTCTTTCTTTCTTTCTTTCTTTCTTAAGAACAAAAATTTCAATATATTATTACAAACAGTCCAAATCAAAGTCACCTCAAAGGTCAGTTTGAGGTGATGAGGTAGTTTTAGTGAAAGGTAAAATTTTATTGTGTTAGCTACCACCTGCAGTGGTTTCTGATAATTACCAAAACAAACAAACAATGAAGTAAGTTTTAAACAATGTCTCCAAAGCTTTCTGACAGTCAGTTTATTTTAAGATTATGAACTCATGCCTGTGGTTCTTATGAAGCTGCCATTACGCACTGTTTAGGAATTGAGGAAATCCTGGATTGCATGAGAACACTATTATTCACACAGGCCAAACCCAAAAAAGGACTTAAACATGAGTTATGTTTTAACTTTTTTTTTTTCATTTGGAAAATACCTTAAAGCCAATAAGTTTAATGGGCATCAGTGTTTTGGATATCCCGTCCTCCTCCCGTCCTCCAACACTAAGCTGTGATATAGTTTTCTCGACTTTGACTTGTGGCGTCACTTCAGTTGTGACAGTGACTAAATGTCAAGGTTTTTCTTTTTCACGTGGGTGGCTTCTTCCCTTTTAGCCTACTGAGGAATCACAACTATTGATCTCGAAATAAGTAAACGCTAAAACAGGAAGTTAAAATGGCAACGTGCAGATATTCAGGTTCAAGCCTTTCAGTGCCTTAAGGGCTTGTAAAAATACTGTTTGTGCTTCTAAAACCACACCTGCCAGCATCTCTTCTTCTGCTGGTTCAATTAGTAAGGAAAAGCTGCAGCATCTTCTCTAGTAATTTAGTCTGAGTGAGCAAATTATAAAATATCTGAGCAACCAGATGAGTGATAGTGAAGAAGGAAATAAAGTCTCGCTCAGCCTGACTTGCTATCACAGATTTGAGAAGAGATACCGTTCATAATGCTAACTTACAATAATTTCCTGGAAATTTGTCTAATCCATCTTAAATCAACCCTTCGTGCTAACACTTTGTAAATGACCTCATTAATATTTTGTAAAGTGTTTTGTAAACTTATGAGTGGCTATTATATTGTTGGAGCTTGGACCCAGTGGATGCTTTTATTTTGAAAGTCACAGAGCGACAAGGTGCCGTAAATCAAGTGGTGTAAACCATATAGCAGAAGCGCGAGTTTTAATGCACAGAGAGTAGTGATGGGATTTCCGGCTCTTTCAGCTCCAAACCGGCTCTTCAGGTTGTTTTGTTGCTTTAATTAATTTATTATTAACAATAATATAAAATTATGCACAAAAGGAATTAATAATGTAAAAAAAAGTGGTTTTATTTATATATGTTTATATAAAAATATATGTGGTGGCCCCTAGACACAAAGCACGTACAAATTCCAAAGCACATTTCTTGTCAGGGTCCTGGGTCCCCTGACCCAGCTTTTTTAGTTCTTTGTGATTTTTGTAATATTGTACTTTACTTTGAAGGTCCGTGTCTTATGTGAATGTGTTCAGTTTACCCTTCCTTGTCTCGTAGGTTCTGATTTCCTCCAGCTGTGCTCTCCTTCTGTGTCTCATTCCCCTCGTTACTTCCCAGTGTATTTAAACCCTGTGTTTCTCTGAGTCAGTGT